TGCTTTAAATGACCTTTTACTTGACTCCTGTATATTTACAATAGCTTGATTAATTTATTTTTTATGATTTTTTTTAAAATGAACTAAAATTGACTTTTTGTCTCCCTTTTAATATTTTGTAAAATTGAGCTTCAGCTCAATTTTGAATGAATAAAAATTGTATTTACATTTTCGTGACAACCCTGAAAAAAATTGAGTTTGTTATATGTATAAATGGTTGTGTGTGCAAGAGATTTGAAAGTTCTAACTTAGTTATTTTAGAAGATAGCGGGTGTTAAAAACTACACTTTCCTGGCATCTAAAAATTGACCCTGTTCTTGATTTTTTTTAAAATTAATAACTTTTTTAATTTTGGAGATAGAGAGTTAAATTTTGTGTTTCTGTTCTGATGAAGCCAAGCTCTATTTGCCTTTTTGCTGTTTGCCTTTTACAATTATGTTAAAATCACTTCCTTTCTACTCCTCTTTATGTTGTTTTTGTCTGGTTTTAGCGCCCTCTCCTATTTTTCTGTTTTAGGTAGGATATGTATAGTTATATTATGTAAATTTAATTTATACTTATTTAAATGTGTTTTGTTTTTTTGTACTGATGAAGGCATGTGCTGAAACATTTACTTATGTATAATTATAATGTATAATTTTAATTAAAGCATCTTAATATTGTTATATTGACACAATTTGTTCGTGTCACATTAATCTATTTGGAGGAATGGTTCAATTTTATTTAATTTCATTATGAAATTTTCATTTAGAATACCTAATTACTAATTAGTTATTAGAATTAGTCACATAATATAATTTTACTAAACTAAAACTTTAGACTTAGTTTAGTATTGATAAGCCGGTAAAAGTGCAGTTCAGGTGCGTATATTATTTCTTAGCGCATTTCGTATTTTAAATTTTTTTTATCATGTAAACTTACGTGTATTCTTTAATAATTGAATCCAGGCAGTTATAGTTAACTAATTCTAGATTATAAATCGCATCTTTTCTTTTTATTTTACTTCTAAAGAGTCTTTAAACATCCCCCAACCAAAGTGACAGGGCCCCCATTTGTTTGTATTTTTCTTTTTACGCTATGCCAGATTTTTAGCCACCTATAAGTTAGTAATGCTAAACGAAATTTTCAAACTAAGCATGTTCACAAAAAAGAATGAAATACTAGATTCTTCATTACGCACAAGC